AGATTGCACCATTACACTCCAGCCTGGGTGACAGAGCAAGACTCCAAAAAAAAAAAAAAAAGAAATATATGCTCTATGATTCTATGCTGTGTTAGGATTATATGCGCTAAGTATAAGCTCTTATAGGAGTGTATGCTCTGTGATTATACGCTTGATAGGAGTATATGCTCTGTGATTATATGCTTGATAGGAGTATATGCTCTGTGATTACACGCTCTGACAGGAGTATATGCTCTGATTATACACTTGATGGGAGTATATGCCCTGTGATCATACGCTCTGATAGGAGTATATGCCCTGCGATTATATGCTCTGATAGGAGTATATGCCCTGTGATTATATGCTCTGATAAGAGTATATGCTCTATGTTATACAATCTGATAGTTAGTTGCATATATTTGTTGCTTCAGTTTCATCTACCTGAATTACAATCCACCAAAGAGGAAAGACCTTTTTATTCTTCTTGCTTTGATAGGCAACATACAGTAGGCATTCAATAGGATTTTATTGACTTACCAAGGAGCTAGGTAATGAAAGATCTTTATCATTATTCCATTGAGAGATCATTTATTCTGAACTATAGTTTCTGATAAAACAGATAGGGGTTAGATTATAACCTGTAAGTGCCAGTCAGATTAGGAACTGTTTTCATTTCTGTTCAGAGAAATTCAAAGAAAATATGAATACTTTCCAAGGGCATAGGTTTTGGTTAGGAAATGAGATCATAGCTGCATGAACTACTTTAAAATTCAGCTTTTACATGGAATATTTAGACCCCAATGCACATTGTGCAACTTTATGTAAAAGCTATTTTAAAATGTAAGAGAAAGACATTCAGTGAACTGGGAAGAGATTTGATAAATGTCTTGAAGCTTCCCTGAAAGCATAGATAAGTTTTGAGTGTAGCCAATGCCAGAAGTCAAATTGAGTGGGGAAGATCATGAGCACAGACTTGTCGTTGAGAATGAGCAAGGCATAGCCTAGGCTTCCAGAAGCAGAAGATGTTGTTGGCAGATTAGTGCACTGCTAGCTTGGGTAAATATTTTGAATCCAAGTAGTGAAAAATATTATTAATAACCTTTCTGTTTCTTCTGTTGGTGTTTGGGTTGCTTGAGCTCAGGGATGTTGTAGATTTCTGAGCAGAGTACTGTCAGGGTTGCATTGCAGGTGGGTGATAGCAGCTAACAACAGTTTTGTGGATCCAAAAATTTGTAAGATACATAAAAATAAAAGTTAACGTTGTAGGGGCAGCTTTAGGAATCTGAAGTATAAGATTTTCCACCAAATGAAACCCAAGTGTTTGGGAACTCTTGTTTGTACTCAGAATTAAGTAAAATAATTATACAGAGACATGACTCATTTGAGGAAATTTAAGTCGGCAAATTGAAAGAAAATTAATGGCTCAACTTAATGAGCATTTGTTTTATGTTATAAACGGTTCTAAGCAGTTTATTTGTACTAATTCAGTCCTTTGACAGTGCCTGTGATTTAGGCACTCATATTCACATTTCAGATGAATGAAACTGCATCACAGTTACATAACTTGACCAAGGTGTCTTAGCTAGTAAATTGTTGGGGGTTTGAACTGAGGTGTCCTGCTCTGGTATTCATGCTCTTAACCACTGTGCTATATTGTGCAAGCAGGGAAAGTAGAATTTAATGGCTAAGAAGGTTAGCTAGTATTAAATAAGACTTTCAAAACACTTCAAAGATCTGATCTTGGGTTTTTTGCTTTGTTTTGTTTTTGTTTTTCTTTTTCTTTTCTTTTTTTTTTTAAGTAGAGACAGGGTTTTGCCATGTTTCCCAGGCTGGTCTGAAACTCCTGAGCTCAGGCAATTCACTGGCCTTGGCCTCCCAAAGTGCTAGGATTACAGGTGTGAGCCACCATGCCCAGAATGATCTTGTTTTTAAGATACCTTGCCCTGGCTCACACCTGTAATCCCAGCACTTTGGGAGACCAAGGCAGGTGAATCACCTGAGGTCAGAAGTTCAAAACCAGCCTGGGCAACATGGTGAAATTCCGTCTCTACTAAAAATACAAAAATTAGCTAGACATGGTATCATGTGCCTGTAATCCCAGCTACTCGGGAGGGTGAGGCAGGAGAATCTCTTGAGCCTGGGAGGCGGTGAAGCTTGCAGTGAGCCAAGATTGCGCCATTGTACTCCAGCCTGTGCGACTGGGCAAGATTTTGTCTCAAAAACAAAAACAAAAACAAAAACCTTGCTCTCTGGTCTTTTATTTCTTTTGGACAATCATGTGCCTGGATCTCTCCTCCAGTTGAATGTGAATCCTCTTTGTAAACATGAAGAAATCAGAGCATTTAGAATGTTTATTTGCATATGTATGCAGAGTAATGATGCATGGATTTTGCAAGGGTCTAGGCTAGTGGGGATGCTGCCATTGTAGTCTTGATATGAAGTGATATCTTGCAGTTTAATATAGAAATTGTCCCAACAGATTTCTCCCAAATACAATCCATAATGGAGTCTTTGCATATAGACACAGTAACTGCTTTTGTTCCCACTGATCCCATCTGCTCTGAGTCCTCCCATCTTTACCTGGATCTGGCACTCTTTCAGTCGCTTCTCTTCTCATCATTCATTGGTTTTATTTCATCTTTTCTACCAGAGTTTGAAACATAATATTTGTAAAGTGACAAAGTTACTTGTATTCAATATGAATTACTCTTCCATCTTCCACTACTATTTCATCTTTGTTCTTTCAACACCCCCGTTTATGTGTGTGTGTTTATGTTTTGTACTAGAAAGCAATGGGAAAAGAGAACTATGTGTTTGTAATTATTATTTGTGGAGATTGGCTCTGACACCAGAGTCAACCCCACTTTGGGGGCTCTTGAATACCTGTACCTTTCCATAGCTAATGTGTTCAGATTTACAGTTTGTTTACTTTTTTGTCCTTTTTAGAAGTCTGGAAAGTTGATGACCTAATAGAGAGAATCCAAGAAAATGAAGACAGACATTCAAGGCCCGCTGTTTGCATCGACAACAAAACCCTGACTGAAGAGAAGGAGAATACCTTTGGTCAAACCTATATGGAAACAAGCCTTGTTCCTTCAAGCATAATAGCTCATAATTGTGTCTCTTGTGGAAAGAATTTAGAATCTATTTCAGAATTAATTAGTAGTGATGGAAGCTATGCCAGGACAAAACCTGATGAGTGTAATGAATGTGAGAAAACATATCATGGAGAGAAAACATATGAATTTAATCAAAATGGGGATACCTGTTCTCAAAGTGAAGAAAATATTCTTCAGAAAATTAATATTTTGGAGAAACCCTTTGAGTATAATGAATGCATGGAAGCCTTAGACAATGAAGCTGTTTTTATTGCTCATAAGAGAGCTTACATAGGGGAGAAGCCCTATGAGTGGAATGATTCTGAACCAGACTTCATGCAGATGTCAAATTTTAGTGCATATCAGAGAACACAAATGGAAATGAAGCCCTTTGAATGCAGTGAATGTGGAAAATCCTTCTGTAAAAAGTCAAAATTCATCATTCATCAGAGAGCTCACACAGGAGAGAAACCTTATGAATGTAATGTATGTGGGAAATCCTTCAGCCAAAAGGGAACCCTCACTGTGCATCGGAGATCACACTTAGAGGAGAAGCCCTATAAATGTAATGAATGTGGGAAAACCTTTTGTCAGAAATTACACCTTACTCAACACCTAAGAACTCATTCAGGAGAGAAACCCTATGAATGTAGTGAATGTGGGAAAACCTTCTGCCAAAAGACACATCTCACCCTACACCAGAGAAATCATTCAGGAGAGAGGCCCTATCCATGTAACGAATGTGGGAAATCCTTCTCCCGCAAGTCTGCACTCAGTGACCATCAGAGAACTCACACAGGGGAGAAACTTTATAAATGTAATGAATGCGGGAAATCCTACTACCGAAAGTCTACCCTGATTACACATCAGAGAACACACACAGGAGAGAAGCCCTATCAATGTAGTGAGTGTGGGAAGTTCTTTTCTCGGGTGTCATACCTCACTATACATTATAGAAGTCATTTAGAAGAGAAACCCTATGAATGTAATGAATGTGGCAAAACCTTCAATTTAAATTCAGCCTTCATTAGACATCGGAAAGTACACACAGAAGAGAAATCTCATGAATGCAGTGAATGTGGAAAGTTCTCTCAGTTGTCGTATCTCACCAACCATCATACAGCTCATTTGGGAGAGAAACCTTATGAATGTAATGAATGTGGGAAAGCCTTCCTTGTAAACTCAGCCTTCGATGGGCACCAGTCGCTTCCAAAAGGGGAGAAATCCTATGAATGTAATATATGTGGAAAGTTATTCTCTGAGTTATCATACTATACTGAACATTATAGAAGTCATTCTGAAGAGAAACCTTATGGATGTAGTGAATGTGGGAAAACCTTTTCCCATAATTCATCCCTCTTTAGACATCAAAGAGTACACACAGGTGAGAAACCCTATGAGTGTTACGAATGTGGAAAATTCTTCTCTCAGAAATCATATCTCACTATACATCATCGAATTCATTCAGGAGAGAAACCCTATGAATGTAGTAAATGTGGAAAAGTCTTCTCTCGGATGTCAAACCTCACCGTCCACTACAGAAGCCATTCAGGAGAGAAACCCTATGAATGTAATGAATGTGGGAAAGTCTTTTCTCAGAAGTCATACCTCACTGTACACTATAGAACTCATTCAGGAGAGAAACCCTATGAATGTAATGAATGTGGGAAAAAATTCCACCACAGATCAGCCTTCAATAGCCATCAGAGAATTCATAGAAGAGGAAATATGAATGTACTTGATGTGGAAAATCTCTGAAGTCAGATCTCAATTTTTAGAAAATTCTCTGAATAGGATGAATATGGGAAATCCAATAGGAAGTCAAAGAGCTTATCTGAGAGTTCATGTTCCTGAATGGTGAGAAGCATTTAGGTGTTAGATTCATTTTAATCTGAATTTTCACAGAGAAGAATCCCTAAGAATGTAACAAGAAGGAAAGCCTTCAGCAACATACGACTCATTGGACACTAGATAATTTATGCAGGAGTGAAGTTTTATAAATATTTAATATTTATTTTGGATTCAAATTGTATTTACATATCAGGGAATCATACAAAGGCAAAATCTGTCAATATGGTGAATGTGGAAAATGGATTGTCTTGGAAGTTGTTCTGCTAGAAGCCATATTTCTGATGTAAAATCAGGTGTTTATAGGAAAGATCCCAGAGACTATGAGTTCTGAATAAACCTTCATTGTATAAAATGAAGTTTTTAAATTATCAGGAGTTGATCATGAGGACAGTAGCATTAAATAAGTATATGGCCATTTTTTATCATGTTTTAAAAATGCAATCTAATGGTAATTCTATGCAAGCTTGGATTTGGATGACTTATGAAAAGGCAGTTTTCTTATTTGAGTGTTAGGATGACAACGTGTACTGAGAGGATATATTGTTATTGAGATAATATTTCATAGTTATAAAATGGTAAAGTGCATAATTTTCTATTTTGAGGAATCTCCAAATGGGTTAACAAATGCCTCAATAGTAGAGGAGGCAGTGGTTTTGTAAAGTTTTCAACTGCATCTGAGCAAGGTAAGATTTTTTAAAAGCCTATTTTGATAAACTATACATACATAATTTGGAACTGTTTAAGTCTATTTCAGTGAAAGAGAACAAACATACTGCCCATACTCTAAAATATCCCCAGCTCTCACACCACCACCCTTTTTAATCCATAGGTTTGAATGTGCCTAGTGCCAATATTTTGTAATTCTGAAATTTTATTCAGAAACTTCTATTTGATATAAATACAATATCGTTGTTTTGTGCATTCCCCTTATTCCCAGTATTTTAGAACAAATTAATTCAAATTTCTAGCAATTGTTTTTTGGTCAATTAATGTCCTCACTCCATTTCTTGCTGGAAAAGTTTAGGTACCTACTGCTTCTTTACATGACGTGGGAAAATTGTGATTAGTCAAAATGATGATGATTTCATTCTCTTTGCCAGTAACTTGTTTTATAGTGGTCACATGATCTGAACTGGGCAGACAAAACAAAGATGGGTTTGTTCTGGAAAAAGGTAATATGGTAATTAGATAGGTTGTCTTCCAGAAATGCAAAGGTGGCTTAATATTCAAAAATCAGTTGCTATTATATACCACCTGTAGAAAAGTAATCTGGCATGCAGAATATTCATGTGTTAAAATTAATGTTCATATGATATTAGCAAATGATGGATAGAAAGGGACTTCCTTAATTTCATAAAGAGGCTTAAACTACAACAAACAGTATGCTCAATGATTATATAGTGATTTCTCCCAAGATTATGAAAATAGACAAGGATATCCACTGTCACTGATTTTATTCAACATTGTTCAGAAGGACCTAACCGGAAGACTAATGCAAGAAAAACAAAAGGCATAAAGATTAGAAAAGAAATAAAACAAGCTGGGCGCAGTGGCTCACGCCTGTAATCCCAGCACTTTGGGAGGCTGAGGTGGGTGAATCATGAGGTCAGAAGTTCAAGAGCAGCCTGGCCAACATGGTGAAACCCCATCTCTACTAAAAATACAAAAAAAAAAATTAGCTGGGCATGGTGGCAAATGGCTGTAATCCCAGCTATTCAAGAGTCTGAGGCAAGAGAATTGCTTGAACTGGGAGGTGGAGGTTGCAGTGAGCCGAGATAGTGCCACTGCACTCCAGCCTGGGCTACAGAGCAAGGCTCTATCTCAGAAAAAGAATACAGAAGTAAAACTTTAAAAAAGAAAAAGAATGAAAATCTTTATTTGCAGATGTGATGAGTAAATTTGATAAGTTCCCTGCATAAAAGTTATGCAAAAGGCATTTTATAATATTCCAGAAAAAAACATGGAAAATGAAATTTTGAAAAGCAGTACCGCTTAAAAGATCCTCAAGTGCCTAGGAGAAAAAATTAGCTAATATGCTTTAAAGGACTGTATCTGGAAAAGAAAATTACAAAGGAGAGAGAGGGATAGGATTCCAGGACAATCTCAAAATAATGTTGCTTTTTCCTAAATTCATTGAACCTTAATGAAATCCTAGCAAGTTCTTTAATGTAAATTAACAAGTTAATTCTAGAATTCATGTGCATATTCAAAAGGCCAATAATTGTCAAGGCTATCTTGTAAAACGGACAGAGAGGATTGAAATTCCCAAATATCAAGACCTGTTACAAAGCCATAGAAATTACAATGGTGTGATTTTGGCACGAGGATGAACAAATTGACCAGTGGAACAGCATAAAATTCATAAATAGACCCACATGTATACCATCACCTGACTTTTGACAACAGTGACATCGAAGTGTAGTGGGGGAAAAGGTGTTTTTTTCCAGTAAATGTGCTTTGCCAATTACATTTTGTAATTTAATAAAAAGTCGGTTGGAGGTGGATTGCAGATCTGAATATGAAATGTGAAATAAAGCTTTACAAAGCGATCTGAGGACAGTTTGTAACCTTGGAGTGAGCAAAGTTTTATTGAGACCCCCAAAATAGCCCATAAAATTAGAACTTAATATTAAATTTCAGAACTTCTATTTACCAGAAAGACCACCAGTAAGAAAGTGAACAGGAAACCATGGCAAGAAGATACTTGCAGTTCATATATGTGACAACAGAACTGAGTGTAGCAAAAGTGTTGGCAAACTTTTTAGCAAGGCACCAGGTGGTGAAAATTTTTGGCTTTGTCACAACTGCTCATCTTTGCTACTGTGTGAAAGCATCCGTACACAATGCATTTAAAAAAAAAAAAAAAAAAAAAAAAAAAAAAAAAAAAAAAAAAAAAAAAAAGCATGGCTGCTTCCCAGGAAAACTATTCACAAACACAGTGGCAGTGTGAATTTGGTCTGCACTGATAGTTTTCTGGTCCCTGATCTAGAATATGTAAAGAGGATCTACAAATCAACAAGGGGGAAAATGGAAAAGGCAAAAGACTATAGAGGATGTCCACTCACTTTAAAGGATATCCAGATGGCCAATAAACATGAAAAGATGTGTTAACTTTATTAGTAATCAGAGAAGTGCAAAATTAAAACACCATGTAGTGCTGCTGCCCATCCATGGAAATGGTTAAAATGAAAAGCATGAAAAAGCATCACGTTTTGGCAAGGATCTAAGCAAGAGGAACTGTCCACTACTGGTGGAATTGCTAATCAATAAAACCATTTTTGAAAGCTGGCACTTAAAGCCAAGCATGTGTACACCCTTTTACCCAAGCCCAGCAAAAATGCATGTCTCTCCACCAAAGGACATGCACTAAAATATTCATAGCATAAAATGGCACAGAACTATCTTAAGGCACATGTGCAATAGAATGAATAAACAAGGGGCACATTTCTACGGAGTACTGTAAAAAGTGAGCATGAATGAACTCTTAACTCCATGCAATAACATAGCTGAATTTGACAAACCTTGCTGAATGAAAGACTCCAGACAAAAGCTAACATGCTGTCTGATTCCTTCTATATAAATTATAAAGATGGGCAAAACTTGTCTATGCAGTAGGAAATTAGGATAACAGCCTTGGCCAAGGCTGAAGGGGGGCATTTATCTGGTGCTGGGAATCATCTGTTTCTAAACCTGGGTGCTAAGTATTTGAGTGTGTTCTGAGCTGTGCACTTAAGATATGTGTATTTTTTCTGCATGTGTGTTATATTTTTCATAAACGTTTTCTCAAATCACAAATGGCTAACATTTGTGGTGTTCATCCCTCTAATCATATTTTTCTAGATATGTAAGAATATGCTGCATAACAGGAATTAAATGGTAGATTTTGCATAATTCTGTGCAGGAAATACATATTTATAGTAGTTTTAATGGCAACTACTAAGATTTCCTGCGCTGACCTTAAAGCTTAGCATAATGTATATTTTAAGTGAAATATTTGAAAAGGTTAAAGAGTCATTACATACTTTATCATCTTACACTCTTGCATATATAAATGGGTCTGAACTGCCTCTTCAATAAAGAAGTTAATGTGTAACATTTCGTATTTCCCTAAACAAATTGTTTGCCGCATTTCTGAACTTGGGATTCATCTTAGCTTTTACCATAGAGGTGACCTTTCTTGGCCGTAAATAAATGGTGAGTTTTGAGTTGATGGAAAATTATTTTAAAAGTATTCAGCTAACCCTTTCAGCAAATGTCAGATACACAGTTAACAGCACAGATGTGAGTGAGTGAAAGAAACGGGTCACCAAGACTTTGCACCATTTAAAAAAGCACTTTGGGTGGGGGCAGGGTAAGCTTTTAAAAGCACAGCAAGGTGGACATGACATTGGATGGCATAGACTATGTGTGCCTCATTTTTTTGTTTGGGGCATTTGTTTTTTCTTTCATTTTTATTTTTTGAGTCAGGGTCTCACCACAGCCTGCAGTGCAGTGGTGCAATCACAACTCACTGCAGCCTTGACTTCCGGGCTCAAATGGATCTCCCACCTCAGCCTCCTGAGTAACTGGGACTACAGGTGCACACGACCACACTTGGCTAATTTTTTTTTTTTTTTTTTTTGTAGAGACAGGGTCTCGCTATGTTGCTGGATGCCAGCTCCTGGGCTCAAGTGGTCCACCCGACTCAGCCTCCCAAAGTGCTGGGATTCCAGGAGTAAGCCACCACGCCTGGCCATGTGCTTTTCATTTCACCTTTCTCGTTGAAGGTTAAGCTGAAGTGTAAACAGGTGACGAATGCTTTGCTGAAGGAGGGGGAATCTGGGAGTTGGGTGGGATTTGGGGGGTGTGACTCCCCCACAGTGGCTCACTTTGCTCTCCCAGTCCTCTGGGCAGAACCACCAGGCAATATTAAAGCAAGGCAGGGGCTCTCCATTCACCCCCACCGGAAGTGCCCATTTCACAGGAGATTCCCTCCACCCATGCCCATATTTGCTAGTGCTTGGCTTGGGGTCGGTGAACCTTTTTTTTTTTTTTTTTTTTTNGACTTGCTCTTGTTGCCTAGGGTGGCATGCAATGGTGCAATCTCGGCCACTGCAACCTCCATTTACCAGGTTCAAGCCATTCTCCTGCCTCAGCCTCCCAAGTAGCTGGGATTACAGGCTCCCGCTACCATGCCTGATGAATTTTTTTGTACTTTTAGTAGAGACAGAGTTTCACCATGTTGGCCAGGCTGGTCTTGAACTCCTGATCTCAGGTGATCCTCCCGCCTCAGCATTCCAAAATGCTGGGATTACAGGCGTGAGCCACCGTGCCCAGCTGAACTTTTCCATTTTGTCTCTAAATTATGTCAAAAGACATAAATGCAAGACTACTAATTTATACCTGAGGCCAAAAATTCACCCACTGTTCCTTATTTCATCCCAAATTATGTCCAGATACGAGGAAGCCAAGCTCTTCAAAGAAGGGAAACAGTCCAGGCATACCTGTAATTCCAGCACTTTGGGAGGCTAAGGTGGGAGGATTTTGAGTTGAGGAGTTCAAGACCAGCCTGGGCAACACAGCCAGACCCCCATCTCTTATTATTATTTTGAGATGGAGTCGTGCTCTGTCACCCAGGCTAGAGTGCAGTGGCACAATCTCAACGCACTGCTTCTGGGTTCAAGTGATTTTCCTGCCTAAGCCTTCCGAGTAGCTGGGATTACAGACATGCACCACCACACCTGGCTACTTTTTAGAGATGGGGTTTCACCATGTTTGCCAGGTTGGTCTCAAACTCCTGACCTCAAACTCCTTTGGCGCCCTTCTCGGCCTCCCAAAGTGCTGGGATTACAGGCATGAGCTACTGCACCTGGTTTGTTGAGCAAAATTTTCAAAATGTCTTCTCTTCACAGCTTGCCCCATCAGTTTACTGC